TTCAGTAGCATAGCAGGTTATAAAGTCAATACCCAAAAGTCAATAGCATTCCTCTACACAGACAACAAACACACTGAGAGGGAAATTATAGAAACAAAACTTTTTACGGTAGCACTGAGGAAAATGAAATACCTTGGAATTCATATAACTAAAGGAGTCAAAGATCTTTTCAAGGAAAATTACAGTACTCTGAAAAAAGAGATCGTAGAGGATATCAGAAAATGGAAAGATATTCCATGCTCCTGGATAGAAAGAACCAACATTGTGAACATAGCCATACTCCCAAAATTGCTGTACAGATTTAATGCAATCCCTATCAGACTACCACCGGCATGCCACACAGACCTAGAGAAATCATTCCTAAAATTTATTTAGAACCAGAAAAGACCTAGAATAGCAAAGGAAATTCTGGGCAATAAAGACAAGGCAGGAGGCATTACAATTCCTGACTTGAAATTATACTACAAGGCTACTGTGATAAAAACAGCATAGTACTGGCAACAAAATAGACCTGAGGATCAATAGAATAGATTATAAGATGCTGAAGCCCCTACAAACACACTCAGCCACCTTATCTTTGACAAAGGGGCCAAACATACTCACTAGAAGAAAGATAGCCTTTTTAACAAATGGTGCTGGAAAAACTGGCTCTCTACATGCTGAAAACTCAAACTTGACCCAGGTCTATCACCATGCACTAAACTAAACTCAAAATGAATTCAAGATCTAAACATTAAAGCAGAGACACTAAATCTCCTGGAAAAGAAAGTGGGAGGAACTATTGAAGACATAGGGGTAGGCAAAGAGTTCATGGACAGAAATCAAATTGTACAGGAAACATGTGAAAGAATTAACAACTGGGACCTGCTCTTACTGAGAAGTTTTTTCACATCAAAAGAAATTATCAACAAAGTGAAAAGGCAACCTACAAATTCGGAAAAAATCACAACAAATAAGTACTCAGACAAAGGTCTGCTCTCTAGAATCTATAAAGAACTAAAAAACACTAGGGCCCCAAAATTTAAAGACCCAATCCAGAAATGGGCATCCGAGATGAACACACACTTCTCAGAGGAAGAAATTATAGAAGCAAATAAATATATGAAAAAATGCTCCACATCACGAGCCAGCCACGAAATGCAAATTAAAACAACATTGAAATATCATCTCACCCCAGAAAGGATGGCTATTATAAAGAAATCACCCAACAACAAATGTTGCAGAGTCTGTGGGGGAAAAGGAACCCTTCTCCACTGCTGGTGGGAATGTAGACTGGTGCAACTGTTATGGAAATCAGTGTGGAGACTCCTTAGAAAATTTGGACTGGAAATCCCATT